GCTATGATTTTACTACAGTGATCTTGATTTGTCATTCTTTGGAATGCAGAGATTCAGAGAGGAAGTTTTCCTCGGTGTCTAAATCACTTTTCTGTGGAGGAGGATCTCTCCTCTGAGACTGAGGATTCTGATTCTCACCCACCTCCAAGCAGTAAAGGTCTCTTCCGATTGTTTTGCCTAAAAACTTGGTGGCATTCTCCACCTTGGGAAATATTGTGAACACAACATCATTTGTCACAAGGGATCAGTTGCTTTTTTGTGTTCTTTCTCACAACCTCTATGGTGGTTCAAGTCAAGCCCGTTCACGGCTGTTTCTTAGAGCTGCTCAAGACCATCCCACTCACACCTCGGTCTGCTGGGTCCACCATGGCCACGGCTCCTCCAAGAAACCAGGCCATGTTCCCCGGGCCTTTTTAGAGACTGTTGCTGATGTGACCCGTATTCTTGTTTTCTGAGTGGCTTCCTGTCAGCTTTTCCCATTCCCTAGCCAAGATCTCCTTCACCAGTTTGGAGCCCAGCTGGCCTCCCTTGGTTGAGGGTGGAGATTTCTGCCTGATGACCCCTCTGATTTTTATTGGATAAATGTGTTTGGATATTAGCAGTTCTTTTTTCTTTTCTTTTTTTTTTCTTTTCACATAAAAATTGTTCAAGGCAGCCCTCACACTTCATGACCCAGCAGGATTTCTTTCCCAAGCACCAAGGCTGTCGGTGCCACTTGGATCTCTCCAGCCTGTCAGCAGAGGGGGTATGGGAGGAGGCAGGGATGGGACACTGTTCAAGGGCTTAGCCACATCCCTGTTTTCCGGCATAGTGGAAATGGCAAGTGGAAAAATGTTTTCCTTCACACACATTGTTGTTTTCTTTCCCCCTGGACGAGCTGACACCATAAAGGTCCTGTATTTTTTTTTTCTGTCAACGAATTAATCTTGCTAAATAATCTCAAACAATTACCAAAATTTGTTGTGACACAGAATAGATGATAACTAAAGCCTTGGGGTTTAATTAAACATATAAATTAGGTGAATTTAATCTGAATTTAGCTGCCCTCAAATGCCTCATGGCACTAGATTTTATAGGTAAGTAGGTGTTAGGCATTTGTAAATCTCACATTTTTTTTTTGATCACATCTTTAGGGAAGGAAATAGACTTAATATTTTGCATGTGGCTTTTAGCACTGTGAAGCCTAGAAGGGGACTTTGAAGGAACTTCAGATTGCCATTTTTATCACGTAGAATTAAATTTAAAATTGTTTCTCTCCCTACATATATACTTTGGGGAAATCTTATTAGAAGATTCAGGTCCTAAATCGGGTAAATTAAAATCATATTAAAGTGCTCCTTTTTAAACCTTTTTAGTCAGTCTGGAAAGCAGATGCTTACTTAGCTAGGAACACATTTCTAGTTGGAAATAGCCTTAGGATCTTACTTTTAACCCTTCTCTGCATTGAGTATCTAGAAAACCATGCAGGATCTAGTGTAGGCTTCCTTTGCTCTTAGCTACATAGGTTTTCCAAGGCAGGGTCTTAGCCCACTGTGGAGTTCAGTGTGGTCCTCGGACCAGTGTCCCGGGCACGACCTGGGAGCCTGTTAGATACACACACTCTCAGGCCCTACCTCAGACTCACTGGGCCAGCCGCTCTGGAGGAGCAGCCCAGAGCTCTGTGTTCCATCAAGCCCTGCAGGTGATTCAGATACGTTGTGAAGTCTGAGAACCATAGGCATCGAACGCACTGGACAAATGGACATCCACAAGAATAAACACAGGATTGACCTCCTTGTCAAGCCTGCATGACCAAGCCTGTATCATTACTAGCACTCTGGTTGTCCCTGCAGTGATGACAGTAGAAGGGCTCAAGAACACGCTGCCCCTGGCTTTTGAGATTAGTCATAACTTGTGAGGTTTAGGACTGATGAGTTTGCTTCTCAGAGGAACCCAGTTGGCTCACCAGGACTGTACTTTCCAAAGCCCCAGGGAAGCCAGCGTGTGGCTTTGCAAATGCATGCTTTTTGGTCACAAATGAAGAAAGGGCAGGTGCGTCAATTAAGCCAACAGTTATTTTTATTGAGCATCTGCTGTATGTGTCACATGAGAAGATGAAGACCTTTGAATCAAGTGAAAAACCTCCTGGACAGTGGTAGATGACCATCAACATGTATAGGAGATTTGAGACTTCTAAATCGGCCTTGCCCAAACTGGTGCAGGAGGAGGGGGGACAGGTGGGGAAAAGCACGAGCTGAGTTGGATACAGTTCAGCAGATTCTGGTCTCGAGGACTTTGGAGCCATTAACGTGTCCATTGTAAATCTCCCAAAGGGCATGTGTTATGCCACATTTCCTAAATGTATTTGACCTTAGAACATGCTCTTGACAGCACATCTCTTCAGCCTCTTAAAATCCTATTCTACAGCTGAAGAAGTGCTTTTCTATGTGAACACTCTGCTTTTGAGGGGGAAAATGTATTTTTCATAATGGATGGGATTATTAAAGTAGCAGTCCTTCAGGACAACAGATGTAGTTTATATATACATTTATGGTTACAAATAGCTGTCTGAAGGCTGACCTGAGCTATGTCATGTATGAAAAGCTTTCAGATCTGGTTTAAGGAAAACCCACGTGGCCTGGGAGTGAAGCTTTGGCTCTGCTGTTTCCTAACTGTCAACTTGGGCAGTTCCTTTCCCTCTCGGAGCTAAGCCTCTTCTGTGAAATGGGAATAATAACAATAATAAAAAGAATCGTAGTATAATAAGACCTGGCTTCAAGGTTGTCGTGAGGGTCAGATGAATTAATGCCTGCATAATGAAGTGGCTAACAAAAATCAGTTTCCTTTTACACTAAGCAAAAATTGGTTTGCTCTTAGTCTGTTGCTCTACTATGAACAAATCCCGACTGTTGATCTCTTTTGGTGGTAGCAGTAGACACTCAGTGCTGATTTTTGTTTGTTTGATCCTGGTGTGACAAAGAGAACCCATGTTAAAAATACTGAGGTAACTTTAAAATAGGACACCTAAAACTAAGTTAACTAGAGTAACAAAATACACTGCAATCAGTAGAAACACTCCTCTTTCAAGACTGCTTTCATGCTGTTTGCACAAAGTCAGCAGGCTCAGGTGTTTACTCTCTACAGAGTCTTGTCAAGGCATATATGTATGCCATCACTTCTCTGTTGGGTGGAGTCAGTTGGAATGATATTAATTAGAGGAGAACCTATTTGCAATCCTGAGTTGTCGCTGGGGGATAGTTCAGCCCAGGAATTCCTTCCCAGCCTGTGACTCTGTATAAATCTGAGTGTCACTGTGACAAAAAGAAAAAGCTTCTAAAAGCGTTCTGAAATTCTGCTTCTTAGTCATTCACTGCATTTGCTCTGTTGGGTTCTTTTGGTGCCTATTAGCTTCTTCCTCAAAGAAGCAGTGGAGTTCTCTCCAAGACATTGCTTCAGTGTTCCCTTCAATATTCCTCGCAGGGGGTGCCTGGATGGCTTAGTCGGTTGAGCATCCCACTTCGGCTCAGGTCAAGATCTCACGACCCATGGATTGGAGCCCTGCATTAGGCTCTGTGCTGACTGCTTAGAGCCTAGAACCTGCTGCGGAGTCTGTAGCTCCTCCTCTCTCTGCTCCTCCCCCATTCATGTTCTGTCTCTGTCTCTCAAAAATAAATAAAAGGTAAAAAAAAAAAAAAAATACTCCTTAGAAATTGAACAGGTGATGGGGCTGTCCCTAGGTTGTTGTCAAAAACATGTAGTAAAGGAATAGAATAGTCGCCGTATGAACCACCCCATTACCTCTTCTTGCCTTCTGTGAAGAAGTTTTGTCTTCAGAGGGAGCTGAGATGATATTGTCCATCAAGAAAGAAAGGTGAAGATGTCTGTCCAAGGATAATGTATTAGAATCCTAAGAAGAAGCATCACCATGAAAACAGCATAATTCAGGGAGGGTTTATTTATAAAGGAATGGCAGCAGGAAAATCACAGGGGATCATACAGTAAACCAGAGCTAGTCACACCCTACCAGTTACCATCCTTATGCTGGAGGGACTCGAGTTTGTATTCGACCAGACCTGGAAGCAGAGAGATGTCTGTAAGAGCCAGTATCTTGAAAGGAATCTTGATCAAGGGGCTCAGCCAGGCACCAACAACCTCTCAGAGACATAAGGGAATAAATACCTCGCCTTTCTCCTGCTAATCTCTTGCCAGAGATACTACCCCCCCCCCCCGCCTTTGTGACCCCAATAGGAAGCCAGAGGGTGCAGCATGTGATCCATGCTAGTCAACTGCTAGGGGAAAAGTGGGCAGGAAGGACAGTGGGTGTTCTCTAGTGCCAATGCAGATCGTAATGCCATTTATAAAAGCGAAAAGTAAGACCTGAAGGGATACCCATCGGTCAAAGACTGCCAAAACAAATACTGGAGTAGACTGCTGGAGGAGTGAGTATGAGATTTAGTATTACCCGGGGAACCTAAAGTAGAAAATGCCAATACTCCTTTCCCAGAGCCTCGGAGTTCATTGGCCTGGGGTGATACCCGAGTTTTGGTATCTTTCTTAAGCTTCCTAGGTGATTTTAATATCCACCTAGATTTGAAAACCATTGGTGTGCATGATATAACCTACTCATATATAAGACTCCAGTGATACAGGTTGTGTACATGGTCATAATGATTCTGGAAAGATACAGTGGAACGAATGTATGTGGCCTTCTCTCACAGAAGCACATGGGACAGTGGCCTTTGGTGTAAGGGACACTGATGTTTCCTTTCAACACTACCCTTTTGTAGTGTTAGACTTTTTTTTTAACGTGTGTATGCCTTGATTGTTCCATTTTGAAAACTCAGAAGTATATTTTCTCAGTTTTAAAATCCCCATTTTATTTTTTTCTTAAAGTTGTGGGGTATACCTTTGTGAGAAGGATTTTTTTTTAATACATGTGCTTTAATTTCCCAGTTTTGTTGAACAATAATTGGCACACATCACTGTATAAGTTTAAGGCATAGGCATGATGGTCTGAGTTTTAAAATACGGAGTGATTTACAATCTGCATGTCGTTTTTGCCCAGAGGCATGCTAATCTTCTCTATATCGTTCCAATTTTTAGTACGTGTGCTGCTAAAGCGAACACAGCGATTTTTTGAAACTTTTAAAATTTGTTACATCCTCAATAACAAAGGATGTGAATAAGACACTGTTTGAAGAATAAGACCTGTACCGAGAAGGTGTTGCTTTTGGTGAGTTTCAATGAAATCAAGGCTTGTTGATTTATTATTTTAGTGGCCCAATGACTCTTGTCCAGGTGGGTCTATCTAGGGCTCCAGGTCAGGTTAGAAATGGCAACTCTTCGGACAGCACAGGACATTTGTCTCAAGGAGTTAGGTAAAGTAGATCCAGTTAGACCCCTGCATCTGGCCTGGTTTCAGATTTCTTACTAATTTGAGATGCCCTAACTTAGGGAACCAGAAAGTCATTTTCTACATTTACTCATGAACTCCTCCACCATCTCCTAAACCAACACTGAAATTTAAGTAGTTCAATTTTCTGGTGCTATATATAGTTCTTTAACCTGATCTTCATCTGTCACCCTCCATCTGCTCTCTCCCCCAATTTCCTTTAAAAGCCCCATTTTAAAGCAGAATATATAATCGAAAAACCTTAACTCTTGACCTTTCTGGAGGTACACTAGAGTTATTCAATAATAATTAGCAGTTGCCCAGGTAACCTCAGACACACTGGTGAAATCACCTATGTTCATCACTACCCCCTGCCTTCTAGCCAGTAAGATCACCTGCCTCGGGCTAATGAAAAAGGGAACAATTATTTTTATGATCCTTTTTTAGCTTCAGTTGTAGGAGTAGGAGAAGTGATTCTGTTTGTGATTACACGTGCTCCAAAGAGGTGTTTTTTTGGTTGTTCTAGTGACTGAAAACAGTGACATAGAGAAATCATCTTGGGTTTTGAGCAAGTTGGCAGGCTCTACTCAGTTTTTGTTCACCACCATACTCCCAACCTTAGAAGACATAGGCAGGTGCAGCTCGCAGATCAGAATCTAAGAGTCATGACACTTAGGGATGTGATGGGAGAGTGACCTTGGCAAGGCTGTTGGCATGCCGTCAGCCACCACTGACAAGGATGATGAAAGCCAGCTAACTTCAGCCCTTGGACCTGAAAAATTCTGCTTGAAAGTTGGAAAACCCAAAGCTGAAGCACAAGAGAGATTTCTTACGCAGAGCAAGCGTGTTGACTTCAGTTCTGTCTCTGAGGAAGCCTGTATCCTCCCTTAACTTCCATACACCGTGCATTACAGTACAGACTTCATGATAGGAGTGCCACGGAACACTGCGCCTCCTCTGGGAGAGAAGCAGCCCCCACCCCCTCACACATCCTCTTTCCCATTCTTCTCTTGATCCTTTGTGTGAAAGTGGAATTAGAGGAAATATGTCCTTAGTCATCCCATGGCAGTACTTACAATGTACAATTGTCACAGTGAAAATACACTGGCAGGAGATCAAGAATCGAGAAGTGGAGTCATGGGAATCCTAGACACACTAATCCAGTAGAGACAAGATCCACATGTTAGCGACCAACATGGCCAGCATAATCATCCCAGACAGTAGTTAGACCTAGCTCTGTCCCGAGTGAAGTCTTCAGTTGAATAATTAGGAGTGGAAGAACACCCACCAACTGCTCTTCCTCGACCCTCTAACTTTTTTTAAATCTCAGTTGGGGTATAGACTTACCTTTATCTCACATGTTCCTTTAGTATATGGCACCTCCAGTTGAACGTTGGCTGCTGTAGCTTCCTGCACCCTAGAGCCCTCACAGACATCAGCCAAAATCAGCCAGGTCTGACAGTCCCTTTCCAGTCACTTAGCAAACATATATCAAATACCTACTCTTTCAGACCGTGTTCCAGGCACTAGGAAAGAGACGAGCAAATACTCTCCCTTCAGATCTCTTACAGGCCAGATGGTAGAAATCAGCTCTACATACATAGGGCAAGCATTGCTGCCAAAACGAGACAGATTTTAAGTAGTAAGTGAGTGGCTTGGTCATTCACTTAAAAATATTTATGGTTGGATGAATTGTCTTAGCAGTTTATGTTGTGTGGGTAGGGTTTCCAATAATCTCTCTACTGTATCTTCTAGATCTCCTTTGAAGTGTGTAATTTCCTTGTCTGCTTCGGTCCAGTTTACCGAAAGTGGGGGAGGAGTGGTAGTTTTATGGCCCAGCTTTTTTTATTCTGTTAGCCAGGAGACTGCCTATGGCTAAAAATGCTGATTGTCATTGGGCTGAGAAAAAATAGGGTGCAGTGTCCCAAATGTTTGTTTGTTTGCCTTTCACAGAAGTCTCTGGATGTACATTTAAGATGCCATTGGGACACCTGGGTGGCTTAGTCGGTTAAGCATCTGACTCCAGCTCAGGTTATGATCTTGAGGTTCTTGAGTTTGAGCCCCACATCAGACTCTGTGCTGACAGCTCAGAGCTTGGAGCCTAATTTGGATTCTGTGTCTCCCTCTCTTTATGCTCTTCCTCCACTCGTGTTCTGTCTCTCTTTCTCAAAGATAAACATTTAAAAAATTAATTTAAAAATGTAAAAAGATGGCATAACAGAGAGAAAAAAATATTTAAAGGAACAAGAAGTTGGAATTTGATCATTTGGTTGTGCTGTGAAGCCTCCGCACCCCCTACCTGAATTTCTCATTAGGACTCTTGGACTTTTTCCCCTCTCAGACAGCTAGCAGTTTACTGGTACTTGTGACAAAAATCTAACCATTTCTTGTATAAAGCCCTACACCAACTATCTTGTTCAAATGAAATTTAGTTCGTAACTGGAAGGATTGTTTTCTGTACTTACATGGAAAAGGAACGTTCTTGGGAATTAGTAGTTCCTTGATTTCTGAGTCGGTGAAAAATAAGTGAAGAAGTTTTGCTTCCTAGTTGTCCTGCACCAGCCAGGCCCCTTTTTCTGTTTCTTTATCCAGAAGGAAATTCTAAATTCCCTCTTCTTCACAAAGCAGTTATTAAGTTCTGCCTTTAATTTCAGCATGAGTCAATTAGGTCACATGCCCCGAGGCAAGCACTCTGGTTCATCATTACAAAGGCAGAAACTTTTCTTGCTGTATTTTTCTTTGCACACGTGGCTGATTTTTCCAGGCTTTTCTTCTGCTTCCCGAAAGGTCACCTTCTGGTGTTAATTCTTTCCGAGGTACACCTCACTAACCAATTCCAGTGGCATTTCAAAGGAAGACTTAACAGAACCTGAGTTGAGTTGATATCTTAGATACCACTTGATGAGAACTGTGCTGTCGGGAGCTCTCTTAGCCCTAATCTGAATACCCCTGTCGAAACTCAGCCGGCTTTGTACCTTATTCCTCACTTCTGGTGTGCCTCATGCAGGGAGGTCACCATATATCCTGCCAAATTAGGCACACCTTGGGAAGAATGAGATCTCTGTGTACAAAATGCTCATTGGAAACCTAAGACGCTCATCAAGAATATGAGTATGTCATCAGTACATTGGGCCCCCAGAACGGGAAAGCAGTGTGATGGCAGGCAGAACCCTCTGTGCACTGCCATTGCCTTAAGCTTTGCTTTTACTCAAGATTCATCATGAAATACAAGAATTTGTTGTAAAAAAGAAAAAGGAGACACTCTGTCTGCTCAGACCCCCTGACCTGAGTTTTGCTACCTATAAAGATATCCCCCCGTTCTTTTTTTCTGGAGAGAATATGACTCTTTAAATACTCCTTCTGTGTGCATCACCGTGGGTCTGCCTTGGCTGCGTGTGGTAGCTGTGAGACCGCAGTGTGTGCCTCTGCAAAGCTGAGGATACAGTCAGGACTCCTAAGGGCCATGCTTTGGTTTTGTGGAGCGGGGTGCACAGGTTGAGATTTTTGGAGGCTGGGTAGAAAAGGAGGAGGAGAAATGATGGAGTTGTCAGTTGGGGGAAGAACTGTGGGGGGACAGAACTCCCTAAAAGAAAACCTGAGGCGCCTGGGTCAGTTAAGCATCTGACTCTTGGATTTCAACTCAGGTCATGATCTCGTGGCTTCCTGAGTTCGAGCTCCACATCGGCTCTACATGGCTGCTTGGGATTCTCTCTCTCTCCCTCTCTCTCTGCCTCCTCCACTCATGCTGTCTCTGTCTCTTAAATAAATAAGCTTTTAAAAATAAATAAATAAAAGGAAATCTTTCGGAGTTTCTCAGAGGTGGTAAGAGATACGAATCCTCTTCCAAAGTCCTCTCACGAGTCTTCCGTAAAAATGAAGGTTGCATTATTCAGCCTGTCACAGTGTTCCGTAAGGCTGGGACAGACTTACTTGAGTTCGTAGCCCAGCTGCACTGCTTACTAGCTGTGTTGCCATGAAGAAGTTGCTTATTGCCTCATCTCTTTAAGAGGAATAATAATAGTATCTACCTCGTAGGGTTGTCGTGAGGATTAAATGTAGTACTTTACATACTTCCACGGCTTCTAGGTAGCAAAAGCCCATTAAAAGTCACCTGCCGTAACTACAGTGAGAGTTGTTATTTTAACAATACCTGAGGACATGAAACATCTGTGGAGGGAGTACTGAGGTGCTTCCCAATGGGCACAGGGTGAGAAGGCCACCAGGACTCCCTTATATCCAATTCTGGAGTGACACAAACAACCTCCCCTGCCTCGTGTGGACCAATCCCAGAGACGCGCCCAGCACTGTGCACTGAAGTACTCTGAGGAGCCAGGAGAGCCCACACCTTCCTCTGGGCACTGTAGAGGATCACGGGAGTATGGGGCAGAAGCACGGGCCAGAAATTCACTAAGGTGGAAGAGCTGGAGCTACAGGAAGGTAGAGCCACTTGGAAGAAAGCCAGGACCAAAATGAAGCTAAGCGGCTGTCTTTGCGCCTCATCACCACCCTCCAGCTGTTTGGTGTGTTGGCTGTCTCGACGTCAAGCTGCATGTTTTTCCCACAATGGTTCTGAGTCCCTAGCATTGGAGTTCCATGATCCCTTAGAGCCCCAGTACTGTTCTCCACTGGACTTTATTTTCTGCTTCTACCTAATTGTCTGCCTCCCAGCCCTGTTTCCTGAGGGTGAAAATCTGAGGGACTGAGCTCAGCTTTGCTCTGGGCGCTGTCATTGGCT